TGCATTCACTAACAATGAACAAGAGTAAAAAAAAAAAAAATACAATAATAATCTTCAAATGTTCTTAAATGAATTTTATTTACGGTATAGTTTTAAAGAAAAATAAAATTAAAACTATTTATTATTATTATTACCCAATAGAAATAACTATATTTTATCGAATTAATTTGCAAATATGATATATTTTTACAAAAATTGTAAACCTAACTATTAAACTGTGTAATTTTAAAGAAAAACCATTCATTTATATCATTAACACAGAATGTATGTACATTTAACTGGTACAGATTCCATAATGTATAATTATTGAGTACATAACAATAAAATAAACAATTAAATATTAATCAAAGAATATTGTCTTGGAAACGGGATATCAACTAAATGCATACTAAGCATTCTAATTAAAAATATATGTAACTTTATATTAAAGAAACAACAGCTCCTTCATCCTTATCGCCCAGTAAGGTAGCGGAAAATTTTCTGTCAAGGTTGAAAAGGAGTTGAACCATAAAGAGTGGATGATAATTTTCATGGTGTTTTACTAAGAACGGTTAGAATATTAAATTCCTGTATAGGGGTAAGGAATTCTTGGATTAACTAAGGGAAGTATAAGGAAGTGGTAAGTTGTGCAAGACCTTTTGACGAAATATGGCTTAAACATTAGTTAATTTATCCCAAGCTCATCCCATCGAATTGTGCACAACGGAATTAATTTTCCTACTGATTTCTGGGATTTATCTGCAACTTATGATGTAAACATAAAACTTTTTTTCCTATTAAAATTGTTTTGCTGAGAAAATACATATTATTTAGTACTTACCTTAAATACTTAATATGTATTCTAAAGATGGTCTAGTTAAAACGCTGAGGTAAAAATAATACCAGGTTGGTAGTAGGATTTAAATTTGCATATATTTGGTTAAATTCTAATGAATAACCATTTTTAGATTAAAAATATTTAATAATACCATTACCAACCCAAATATCATAATATATATATTTATTATATAACATTATATAGCTATACTAAATAAAGCATTGGTTGTGAACTTTTATTAACTTTGATTTTTACTCTACATTCATATTTTGAAGTATTCTTTCGAAAATACAAAGTATATATGAAAAAAAAAATTGCAAAAACATACTATACAAAAACTTATAACATTTTGTAGTATACTAGCAGTATAATTTTTATTTGATTTATCAAATACTTAAAAATAATAAGCTTTTAAAAAAAAAACACTGTATATCCTAGTGAAAGTGAAGTAAAGTTACATTCTAATATAATAAAAGTTAAAAACTAGTTGATTATAATTTACTAGTTACAATGTTTCTTTGATATTAGTCAACTTCAAGTATCCGTAGTTATATGAAAACGTGCTTTATGAAGAAAAATGTTGAAAAGAGTTATTTTATATTAAAACACGTTGTCTTTTAAAAGCCACACATAAATGATTCAAAAAGTTAATTAATTGACATTTTTCCGACGTCAAATAAATATTTATAGTATCTTAACTTTATTTTGAGTGTTACAATAATATAAGGTAGTTCTTAATAAAACCAATTATTTTGAATTATTTGATTCACAAATAATTAAATAGTTGTTGTTCAACTAATTATGACTTGATTGATTATATTTAAATGTTATAATATAAAATTAATTTTAGTAACATCAAAACATAATAAGGAAGTATACCTAATATAAGTCTTAAATGGTAGAATTAATTTAAATATTTCGTTACAGAAAATGAAAAGAATATCAATATTTAAAGAGAAATATAATAAATTAATTACATAAGTACATGGTATAATATTTCATTGACAAATAATTTTATTACTGATATTAATGTGTTATAAATTGTGGATGGTTTTTTAGTGACTAATACACTCGATGATACATCGTACCTAAGACAACAATCGAAAAAACTCAGTCTTTAAACTTGTAACATGTATTGAAATATATACTCCAATTTTTAGGTTATAAAATAATCCATTATCGACACTTTTTCCACGTTGCAATAACATTTTCTACCATGTGCAAATGAACTTAACGGCGAAACCTTTGAAGTTTTTTTCACTTCAGAAATGACCTTCCATTAATGGCATTTCTGTACACTCGTAAGCTTTACCATGTTTTTCGATCTAGGGGTGTACTTTACGAGAAGTGGTGAAGAGGGTTTAATAACCTTCAGCATATAATATATATATATATATATATATATTATACGGTCACCGACAGTCTGTTTCACGCGTAGAGTTAATAAAAACATTACGCGTGAAACAGAAAAAATAAATAAATATATATGTATATATATTTATTAGGTACACAAATATAATAAATATATATATATTTATTGACCTTCGACTGGATTAATAATAAATTAAAAGTTTTGAATCAGTTTATATTTAAAAAAAAAAATTATTATTGTGAATTCAATTATAGATCTTTGAAAAAACTTTGCTATTACAATTCACTGCATTTTAAATAATTGAGAACGTAACAGACTAAAACTATTTAAATAATAAAAATATATCAAGTTATTTAGAAGCTAAATTAATGTTCTTAATACATTAAAGTTAAATATTTAATGAAATTCAACATCAAAGATGTACATAAATTTCAACAATGAAATATGTTTTTAAATAAAGTTTGTTTAAATTTTTTTATTTTTCATTGTAGATTCAAGTATCAAATCAACCAATGTAAAAAAAATATATTAATTGAAACTATTAATGTCTAAACAAACTTCAAGAAAGAAAAAGTAGTCATGTATTATCATGCAGCGATTACATCTTGATGAAGATATTTTTATACAAAGAAAATATAACTAATATTAAACAAGAAGATAGAAAATAGAGAAATATAACAAAAAAAAAGACGCTGAGCTCATAGACTTATATGACTTTTTAATGAGAATGGTAATTATGAAGATAAAAATAGCACAGAGGTATAGTGGAGTTCAAATTTTGTAATAAATAATATAGTATAAAGAGCTATATGAATTATTTAAATCAATTATAATTTTAATAATAACAATATTTGTATAAATTTTTCATTCGTATATATAAATTGTATAAACGCATTCTTAACAAATTATAGTGATGTATGGAACAATACACAAATCGTTATTTAATACAACACAATAAAGTACCCGGAACAGGCCATTGTTGCAAATACGATGTGATGGTTGAGAAAACAATGTAAACAGTAATGGTATTTTCATGCATTTTGTTTTATTAGGTCTCTAATATTTTTTATCGTTAAACCAGCATACTAAAAATTGTTAGTGACCTCTTTATCCCGTAATTAAACATGTGGTCAGTTAGTACAAAAAATTAATAATCATTTCACTTTTAATAATAAAAATACCGTCATTTTTATAATTTTCATATTCAACACAACCAGACTTCCGCCGAGTAAGAGGCACTCATCGACGATGCAATACAAATTACCCAAAGGGAAAGAATGGCCCAACGTTTAAACGTATTTGTCGTACTATTCCCCGAAGTATTACATAGATTGGAATTGTAAAAGAAGTAACCGATACAAAAGAGGACTTCAGTATATGACGATGACAACGGGAGTATTACAATACAATTGTACAAAATATAGTGCAAATGAAAAAAAAATACGAGAGGTACGCTAATAATATAATAATTTAACCAGTCACCGTTATGACTATTGCCCTCTCCCCTCCAAGCGTAAGTAATATGCAATAATCATGACGTGTTTGGTTTCACCTACCTAACATTATATTGGTATAGGTATTATTGTACGAAACAAAAATGTGCGAATCAAGCCCTATGTAGTTAGAACGTTGGATATTTATATTAATTTAAATATTAAAATTCAGAATTACGAGCTTAAAACAATAGTTTTGCCGTCCACTTTTATTCGACCTGTCATGTGCACTGCTCTATTTCCCATCCGCCCCAGTTCACTTTTGTTCTCGTCACTCTTTTTCCTTCAACCACCCGGTAATTTATTCCAATTGTATGAGTCGTTTTTTTTCCCTGTGCACACGTACACTGAATATTATAAAACCACATGCGGACGTTATATGATGATTAATAGTTGGGTAGCCAAGCTACATTGAGTAATACCGAAACGAATACACTACACACCAACTCACAACGCATACATGCACACATAAACACATACGTAGACACATGCATATAATATATTTGTATTATAGGTAGCAAAATTCCGGTCAATTGGGTTATCAACAGGAAGTAGACGATGAATTCTGCGGATCTGATGTATAGGAAATCGGGTCCGTTCGGCCTAAGATCTTTCATTCTATATTTTTTTCTACAAAATATTATTATGAGTTCGTATATTTCATTTGTATTGACAAAAGTAAAAAAATATTGGATTTTCAAAAATAAAAGTAAAATAAATAGTTATTTGATTATTTCATAAAAACATTTTCAATAAACGCTAAAAATATTTTATTTTTAAATTTAAACTAATTAGTAATTAGTAATTTTTCAATTATTGAATATAGAAATAATAATCGTAAATAATGAAATAGCTTTATAAAGTACTAATTGTATAGCATTATGTATGCACTTAAAAGTAAAACGAATATTTGTTAAAAATTTTCTTACAAATATAATTAGGTATAATATACTTGTCATTCGATCTAATTAGTTTCTACTAATTGAATCACATAATTATTTGTTATAAGTTAATGAAGATTTTAACGAACTTGAGGACGTTTACATACACATTAATTATTGATTAAGCACAAACATTTCTTAAATAGGATTAATTCCACAATACTTATTTTATACATTAAAACGGACATAATGACAAACAAAATAGCATGATCAATAAATCTCCATCTTTTAAATCGTCTATATAAAGGTGCCAACACCTCACCAAATTAGCTTGTATAAAATAGGTGTGCTTTGTTCACGAGCGTAAGCGTTTACTGTAATAAAACAATCTTACAGCTGCCAATCACATGTACTGTTAATAGTAAATGCATCGTTACCTGTCTTCGATTAGAAACTTGTCGCTGACGTTTTGCACGCACTCTCCTTTAGTCGTAATACTAGTCGAATTTATGTTGATGTAATGGTTCACGCCAGATTGGAACCATCGACCGGACCATTGGTCAGGAAATTGGCATTCACCTAAAAAGAAAATACATGGTTGAAAAATTTACTTATATTACTTAATTGTTTAATGTAAAATCGATTTTTTTTTTTTTTTTACAATTAATAAACTATCTGTATCAATAGCTAGAAAAAATAAGAATATGTGATAAAAGCTACAATTGTCTGGTCATGAAATGTTGTTAAAAGAAGTAATCCATTGATGACACTTTCTATATATATTTTTTTAATATTAAATATGTACATCGATTTGAATAGTTTGACGAATTAAACAAAACGTTTTACTTCAAAGTAGGTTACGTTTTATTTTTACTCACAATCAAAAATTTCATGAAATATTTTGAAAAACATCAGTTTGTAAATAAATTTAAACACAAGTATTTATGTAAATATAATATTATAAATCTGTGTATATGAAAAAAAAAAAAATTTCACTTTAAATTATTCTATACTCGGGTATGATATTTTGTATTTTTGATTTTCTAAATACACACAGATCCGAACAAAAATCATATACCTAATAATACTGTTAATACTTAATTAGTGTCCATGGTAATTATGTTTTTAATGATTATAGATGCATGATAGATAGGTATGATAGATACATGATACAACTATTTACGTTACAATTATTAGTGCACCTATGTATAATATAATAAATGTAACTTGATTAATTATAAAATAAAATGCATGCCAGTTGGTATTTTTAAACTGATTGTCATTATTTTTATGATACTTCGCAGAAACATTATCAGCGTGGATAATATTCTTGAACTTTTATAGGCAGGAGTTATTAGTGTCCTGAATTACAAATCCTTCACATATAGTACACGATGAATGTTTTTGGCAACGTTTTTTTTTTCCAAATCTCTCTCTCTCTCTCTCTCTCTCATTCACTCAGAACACACGACGTCTCGATATAAGTAGTAATACATAATAATCCTCCGGATTAAAAACTCATACGCGCATACGGTGGGTAAAACTTAGATACACAAAACTGCACACACGCGTGCAAGTGTATGAAGTGAATAAAAAAATCCCTCTTGTACGCACCACTATACGAAAAGTACAAGTACTGTTCATAAACACCAAGGCTCGGTGGCAGTCGATGGAGAGGGGGCTAAGGGGGTGCGTATGAGTACACATACGTACACGCAGTTTTAATACTCAAGCGAAAACGCATTCCTATTAAACTTTAAGCTTTTCAGGTCCAACTTTGTGTATGCGTTCGTGTGTATAATACACAAAACACTACGCGTTTATAAACACACATAAGCTACTCGTAGAAGCCCACGGCGGGCGGGGTGACGAGCAAGGTGAGGCGGGAGATCGTGTCGGCGGCGCGGCCATCTCTCTCGCCGCTACCCCGTCGCTGCAGACCGAAGACAGAACGCACGCGCCGGGTCGAGGGGAAGTCGTGCGGGAGGGTGAAGGGGGTGACCACCGATATTAATTTCTGTACTACGGGCCACCGACCGGGCTGTCAAGAGGAGTGATGGAGATCAATATTGCCGAGTTATAAATAATACCAGACGAAACTTAACCTCCCCCTTTTCCCCCGAACCCTCATCGTAGCGTCGTTCTCACACCATATATACATAATATTACGTGTGTATAAATATGGTATATACATATCCCCGCGGGCACACCTCCTACGAACCCGTACATACCTCCTGTGTATATCATTCGTATATCCATACACATATTCATTGTATATTGTATAATATATGAAACTCGCAACAAACGTGTAATAATATCACCACCACATACTGCAGTACCGAACATCCCGCAGGTGATGAATGTCAACCGTCCCGTCTTGGATGTTTTATTTTAGTGTGCTTTCTTTTTTTTTAATAAAACAGGTACAATTTATTTTGCAGATATAATATAATATTATACATATGTGTGTGCGGATTGATAGACGAGGTGTTATACACGAGGAGGAGGGCGGAAACTTCATCAAAAACCGCACGTTGACATACTGTGTTTTATTAGTAATCACTATCGGTAAATGTATAATGTAATTGCTTAGTATTGAAAACGTAACGAGCAGAGGTCACCTGTGCAACAAAGATCGCGTACATATACACGAACATCAATAATATATTATTCTAACATACGTGGATTCGAATAGATATATACATTTATTACATAAATTAATTGGACACGCGGTGATTGGAAACGTTTTGACATTTCAATAGAGTAAATAGCTAACGTTTTAATCAAGTTAAGTAATGATTAATTGAATACAATGTTCACACTTCGAAAACTACAAGACCATAATAATGATAAGTGCATTGATAAATCAAGTACCTATAATAAATAAATCGATTGAATTATATTAAATGCAATTTATCAAAATATTTATATACGTTATTTTTATTTTCTTGCAGTTAAATATATTAATCAATGATAACCAGGTGAACAGTGTGAACAGTCTACAAATCCGATCAAAATAATTAAATAAATTAAACCATAACTAAATAAATAATATGAAAATAATAGTAAATTCTACAATATATCGGCGAAGGGTAAATAAGCTGAACGTTTTACAATTATTTCAGTACATGAAACTAAATTCAGTGCGAATCGTAATTAGTAAACGACAACATAGTGGAAAACGGAGAAACCACGTTCCAGGCGACCATGGCCTGCGGTAGCTATACACATCACACAGTCACCTTCTGTCGAAAGGTTGTCGAGCTACGTCCCCAAACATATCATCGCCAACGTAGTCATCTGTCCTGTTTCCCACGGGAGCAAATATTTGCTCACCGATTTCCAAAAGGGATCACGACCCTCGACCCTCCTTAGTCTCGTCTCGCCTATAATATTTCGTCTGTACCGCTGTCTACCATATATTTCTGCACACAGGTCGACGATTTTAAATAAACAATGGGCAAAACGATCCTAATATATTTTCGCGATTATAATCCTATTGCATATAATATATATACATGATGGTATCGCGGAATATACCATAGTCCGTAGCACAAAGCTCTTCAAAAACAATGCTAATTGAAAACCGGCTAGTTTCTCAATGTCCTTTTATTCTGTTTCATGACCTAACACAGTATAAGGTCTAACGACCACCATTTTGTTGCAGGCCCAACGGTATCTAAGTGCACACTTGTATCTTAAGAAACCATCGAAATACTTTTATTACTACGTAGGATACATGCATTGAAGATTTGTGTATTTTAGAGTTGTTATATAATAAAGTTAAAAACTATAGCTTAGGTATAAAAATAACCAGCCAGCAAGGTGAAATGCGGTTAATTAAATGAAATAGGTTACAAGTATGTAATTAACACCAGAAAATTAAAAAATGTTAAAATATAGAATTATTGATTTATTCCTATATTTGACAATTATTATCACTTTACCCCATATTTTATGCTCATTATTCCGTGTATTTACACGTTTTTATGTGTTTCCTTTACAATATTCAAACTTCACATACAAATTGAAAAGTTGGCATTTTATTGAATTAAAGATACATGGAAAATATATAATTATAGACGCATAAAATGGATGGGTAAATCAAAATAATATTTTGTGCACGATTTTGTGTAAAAAAAAATTAATTTCAATTGTAGTTAGTAGTTATCATCAATTACGAAACAGAAACGGTAAACATACATTTTCCTTGTGGTCAAAATAATATGTTTCGTTTGTTTCTTTATTATATTATTTAAATTCAATTAGCAATATAAAAAACCCAGTAATATAGTTTAATTTTATGAAGGTTTAAAGAACAATTTTTTTCGAACTGATTATGCTTTATTTTTAAACTATGATTATTTTACATAAAATAATATTTATTTCGTTGTTATTTTGCAGTATAATTATTGTTTAATGCAAAACAAGACTTTTTATTTGATCAAATAATGATCAACAGAAATCACAAGTAGCAGTTAAATCAGATTACACGTGCCTTCGAATCTAAATACTTTATTTAACCGGTGTGCCTACCTACAAGTCCACCTATAACTGCTTGTTAAAAATTATGAAAACTAATAGATGAAGTGAAGACAGGAATTAGGTTAAAATATCGTTTTCACAGTTTTAATATTGTGAAAGTGTTTTATTTTTTGTTTAACGACTATTGTTAATTTATTGATTATTATTATTATTATTTTTTAAACTCCAATGTTGAATTTATAGTCAGATATGTTTTACTTATATGACGAAACAATTTATTATAATAAAAAATATGCAAATATTATGAGATATAGAATATCAAAAATTAAACAAAAAATACTCCTCGACATATTTTTGAAAACTACTTCACTTAGTACTTATTTTTCAACGCAAATAATGAATTTTAAAATTTTATAATTTATCTTTTAGTGATATAGAACGTAATTTATAATTTAATATTTTTAAATTTATATTTTTAAAAATCCAAATAATAATCGAGTATGACACAATACATACTAGAATTTAGATAAAAAAGTCAGCAATTTTGATAAATGGAATAATAGAGAATACGACAGAACTGGAGGGATCGAGAGTTGATAAGTAAATTGGTATCGATTGTATAGTAACCAAGGGACTCAAAATGGGTAAATAAGTATATTCTGTTGAGAGAAAAAAGAGAGTATTTAAAAATTGTGTATTCCTTAATAATTTAATAAATAGAATTTATAACATAAAGCCATGATTATTAATTTATTCTTTATAAATAATTTAGATAAGATTTTACTTTAAAAATACTATAAAATGTTGATTACTAAAAATTGATTTTATCTACTGATTAAAAGTTAAAAAAACCAGTTAATTTATAAATTTTTTTTAATTAATATAAATAAATTACTATTAAATTATCTATTTAAATTAAAATGAAATAAGTGAAAAATGAAAATATATCTTACTGTAATTTAATATTTAATTTGCTAGTAAGTGCCAATTAAACTTTATATATATAAATATATAATATTGATAAATTATAATATACACAAGACGATATGTAAATATTCAAAAATTGTATATAAACAAAAAACTTCTGAATTAAT